AAGAGACTTCTTCGCCTGAAGGGGGTTCAAATAAAAAAAAAAAAAAAAAAAAAAAAAAAAAAAAAAAAAAAAAAAAACAGACACGAGGGGGGTGATAGGTTGGGGACAGAACATGGTGCTCCATTAGTAAAGAGGCACAGAGCGTCAAGAGCTTCACATTAGTGCTGAACACAGAGTTAATGCATCATGCAGCCGCTCAGAGAGTGTCCTGTTGTGTCTCTGGAGGACAACAGGAGTCTGTTTGCTGCTGGACGTCAATGGCCACTCTGTTTCTTTTACACAACCCCCCAGCCTGAGTCTGTGACATCACTGCGTCCTCCCTGCCATCCCACAATGCAACCCTCAGCCAGGACCGACACCATGTATAAACAGTTCTCAGTTTGTCACTTGGCAGTGACAGCCACCTTTATGAACCTGATGATCTCATTTACATTTGTGGTGCCTGGGTAATGACCCCACTGATGCCGATACATTTATGAACTCCTCTTTGTCCGTCTGGGTTTTCCTGAGTTTTCTTGATGAAGCTCGGGAGCACAAACATTAAAATTTAAGTCATGTCAAACTTCTACATTTTATTGCCACAGACTTAAATGTCTCTGTAGTATCAAGTAATAAAACTAAGTCTAAAACTAATACTAAAACAACTTACTGGATGAATTATCTTGCTGACTTGTTCATAAAAATGAGAAAACATTTAGCCGGCTAGATACACTGGATAATACACTGTTAGTTTCATTCCAATTTTTATCATTGAAAAATATTTGCATCACCTTCTTGCTAATAAAATTATCGAACCTATGTCATAAAAGTGTAAAACTGTGAGTTTAAAAAATGAATATCCCAGGAAGTGAGCTTTGAGGTACACCATACTGGTTTACACTGGTTGCTTTGGACGTTTTTCAGGATTTGTTGAAAGCAATCAAAGAATTCACATAAAAATCAGGTTAATTAGAAGGTAAATTACATTAATTACATTAAGACTTATCTTCCTTAAGTTTTTCCCCCCACAAACATGACATTTGACGACCTCCCCTGAGGTGTAGCGAGTTTCTACACTTCAGTGTATATTAATGAAGAGGTGGTTTGATGACAATTACAGTCATTTTTGGGTTTCTCCAAGAGTAGGTCCATTGGAAGAGACCGCCTTTGCTAAATTCTGATGCGCTATAAGCAGCCTGACATATGACAGAAACTGCTCAGTTCATATAAGAACTCCTATTACGCTTTCAAGGCATAAAGAGTTCAATCAGAATTAAACATAACATTGTACAAAACATATGGAGAATTGTTCATCATGATGTGTTTCTTGCTTATACCTTTCATATTTTACAACTTTAAATAACCTAACTGTACATCATATTTATATTGTTTTGCTCTATTTTTTATGCTGTTTGTGGTTTTTGTTTTTCTTTAAGTGGTTCCATTGTTATATAACATAAAAAGGGATCATTTAGTTCTTTAAAACTTGATATATTCAGATAAATGCTCTCGAAAGAATTTCCTTTTGGAGCATCAGTGGGGGCATTGCGTTTTCATCACGTCCACACTGCTGTGACATCACACAGTGAGTCTGTCCACATGCACATTAAAAGCAAACTGCACCATCACATCAAGAAGAAGAAGACACTCTGATGGAAATGTGCATTTAGTGATGGAAGGTCAAATACAACAGCAGATGGAAGCCAAGGTTCTGCCTTAACTGACCGTCTTTCAGCTGTTATATTAATCACAAATCTCCAAATGTTTGTCAGAAATAACATGTGAGACTGAATCTGATCCATCAGCCACTTCACAGTTTAAAAACAGGCACTTTTTGCCTCTTCTGCTTGATTTTAAAGGAGAAATAAAATTGAATTATCTTTTCTTGTTTTGAACAAATTAACACGACTGACTCAAAAAGCAACATTTTGTCCTTTTAATCTGAGATTAGGGGAAATTCAAAGCTTTCAGCATCGTCATACACCCCATTTCAGCTGGTCCAAACAAAGCAGGCAAGGGTGCTGAGCTCTTTGTCGTCGTCATCATCATCATCATGGTCATCGTCACCTCAAGCTGTATAAAGCACCACAGATGAGCTATAATCTGTGCCTATATGTTCAAATCCCTAATCTGCCTCTTCAATCCCCCTTCCGGGCTGCTAATCTGCCTCTGATTGGGTCTTTCGTGGGTGTTTGCACATCCAAACCGAGGTTGTGTGATTACTCAAAATCCAAGCTAAAACAACATCCACCCGTGCGTGAACGCTTAATTTGTGATCTGAAGATGAACAAACACATGACGAAGCTCGTACCAGTTATATGGAAGCTTTCCATCTCTCTCAAACGAGGCGAAGTTGACAAAGGTCTCCGCGCCACACTCTCTGAAACAGAAATTAAAAAGCACATGTGGTGAGAACAGCTCAGTTTGAGGAACTCAGAAATTATAGATGACTTATAAGGAAATGGAGGAAGCTGTGAAGTGAGTATGAAAAGAAAATTTACAGTGAAGTAAAGAATTTATCAAGCCATCGGAAAATAACGACTTTCTTTGCTCAAACATTTTAGAAACATTTTAAAAAATAAACATGAAAAAGATAGAATAACTGGAGAGATGATGCAGGGTAAAGTTACGATCATAAGGTAATCATAACTTTGTAACACAGTTTAAACATGTTAACATCTGCATGTGATTCACTAGTAAAAGTCTGCATGCCGCATTCTGATTGATTTTTTTTCATAATTTTTATGTTAAAAAAGTAAATCTTTTATTTTTGTCATACAAGTATTTTTTATTTTCCACATTATATTTGAGATGTAGCATTAAGATACATTCAAAAAAATCAGTATTTTATTTTAGTACAAAAGAGAATACCATTATTCTATAAATCTGTAAAACACACATATTACAGTACACACAGTGTAATACTGTGTAAATATTGCTTCCTCAATAACGTGTAGGTCTATAAAGTGCCTCGTAAACACCGCCCATGCCGCTCAGCCTCCTGACAAGAGGAAGTAGTTTGCGTCCTAACTCGTGCGTGTCATGACTCTAAGAAAAAAAGGTGTTGTGAATTATGCCAGTTAGCTGGGCATTAACGGCTGACCACAGCAGACCACAGCTTGACCGCTTTACAGATTAGTGTACAGCATGCAGACACCCTCTCAGTTATTTCCTCAGAAATTCAGCTGTGAATCACTCTGAAGCTCCAAGATTATTCATGCTCATAAACTCCAATAACTGTGATCCAAATTCCATCATTTCTATTCTAAATGAAGGACTTTACTTTTCTTAAAACTAGTTTAAAGTCCATAAACTGATCTCAATGGGCATTTCAAAAACAAGACATTCAGGACACATGCTTGTTTTTGTTGTTGTTGCAGGACCTGCTGCAGAAATGCACACAGAAACTAACCTCATACACTACAACTCATGCACAATAAACTCATACACTGTATCTCAAACACTGTAACTGTCACACAGAGTGAAGCTGTTAAGGCCAAATGAACAACAGATGACTGCGTGACAGCAGAGGGCACTGCTGCTGTGCTGACTTTGAGTTACCTGGTCATCTGCAGGTGTTTCTTGCGCAGCACAAGCAGGAACAGAACGAGCAGGCTGATGAGCAGGATGCTGAGGACAGCCAGAGCCGAGATGGCAGCAACGCTTGGATTCATCTCTTTGGCTGCAGATATACAGACAGACGCACAGACAGACGTTGTTACCTCTCAGCACAGTCCTCTCTGATTTCATCAGTTTTCTCAACACAGAACCCTTCCTGTATGGTACTTTCACATTAAAGTTCTTTTATCAAGCGGGTGGCCTCCAACTGTACTTTGCTACAAAGATATACTATAAAAGATCGACATAGAAATTGTGAGCTTCTTGTTGTGTTGAAAGAGGGGTGGATCTCACAATCCTTACTCACTGGTTAACACCTGTTATGACAAGGTGCTAACCAATGAGCTTGCTGCTCCTCTGTGACTAACGGCACCAAAACGTTTCACTGAGTCGCTGCAAGCAGCTGGAAAGAGTTCACTGAGCTCAGCTCCACAGCACAAATCTTCTTCATGTCACACTCACCCTCAGTGGCTGCAGTTCACTTTACTGCCTGCAGGAGTGACTAAAAACATTTTAAATCTTCAAATTAAAGAGCTGCACTTAGTTCAGTTTTCACTTTTAAGATGTTTCAGGGCTCAAATAAAGACAGTCACTGCCCTCCTACGGTGCAGGGAAATGGTGCCACCTACCAACGGTGCTGACGCTGATGTGTGTGGGTTTGCTGGGCGTGCTGTAGCTGAAGCTGGTGACGGTGCAGTTGTAGCTGGACGATGGTATCAAACCAGAAATGGTGACCACGTGGGAGGTGGAGGTCTGCGGCTCAAGGGCCTGAGGAAGAGGAAGAAGAGGTCAGATTTGTAGTCCAGATAAAGACAAAGGGCTGAGCGGCTGCTGACCCCAGCCTGGTGCTGAGCAGGAAGACTGAATCACTAAAACTGTACTTTTGTTTATGACCACATATTTCACATTTTCCAAAACTCTTTGGTGTTTTGTTGTTGTTACTACTATAACCCTGGTTCCAGTATGTGCTTCACTGCTAAATTTGTCAAGACGTTTAAAAAGAAGAAGCTAAAGAAAATTGTACTGTCTTAATTTTCCCAAATATTTCCATGGTTACGTGGCACTTCCTGTTTCTGCAACTCTAATTTTAAATTTGGTCAAACGAGAGACTTCTCACTGGACAGAAACCACCGAGCAGTGCACTCAAGTTTGAATCATTAACAACTGCCTGAAGCTTTCCTTGCCATTCTACGATCAGACATCTTATTGACCTGCATCTCTGCACACGTGTTGCCGAATTACCCTTGGCAGCACTAGGCCTATCTAAATCCTTTTTGTTAGTCTCCTTTTATCGCCTACCTCTTCATATGGAACCATGGATGTGACCACGTTTCTGTTCTCAAGGTCCAGACCTCCAACACCAGTTCCTGCTAACCGCCCTGCAGTCATTCGCCTTTATTTTACCTGAAAGCTGGACTCATATCAAAAATGTTCTCTTAGCGAGTCAGCTGCTGTAGAAACTCACAGCATCCCACAGATACCACGCAGCACATATATGTGATCCACAGCCATCCACAACGAAAACACGCCTCCTTCACCATGTTCTTCATCATCTGCAGAAAAAACCTGATGACTCCAAAAGCAGCTGTTTTGGAGCACAGCTGGAAACAGCTGTAAGTTTCCTGCTGTCAGAGGCTTTGGGTTCTAACGTGCAGATGACCCGAGAGGTTGTGGTCAAATCATCCAAATGCATCACAGGCAGAAATTTTTTTTCTCTCTTTTTAAAAGTAAAGTAGGATTTATTTCCAAAATAAAAGATTTATTTCACTTTTAAGCTTTCTAATGAGATTAGCTGCAACTGATCCACATAAACACCAACTCGCACCAGCAAACACAGGTGCTGAGCGGCTCTTTGGGACATCATTTTGCTTTCATGATAAAAAAAACTTCCGCCTGCAGACGGTAAACCAGCCATTACACTGAAAGGACATTAACCCCTTAGCAGTCCTACAAATTTACAATTAGTCCCCTAAACCATCCAATGTACCGTGGGCGGTACGTCCGACTGCTAACAGGTTAAAAAACAACAAAACACAGTCAGGGATGAAAGCTCGATACGGGAAGAAAACCATGTTTTCTAAACTCTTCTCCTATAGACTTTAAGACTGACAGACGCTCAAAAAATCTGATCAGAAATCAGCTGATTTTTTTCCTTTCAGATGCGAAACAACAGATTTCCCAATTGTTTGCCATTTGTCATTATTTAACTGCTTAAAGGGATATACACCAGCTGTATAAAAATTATCTTGTTTTACTGTCCCAACAATATCAGCCCGATCGTGCTCTCTTCACCTCAGCTGGTGTGGGTGAAATGCAACCAATCACATCAGAGTCCTCACAGATCTGAGTTTGGTCTCAGACTGAAAGTGAAAAGTTTCAACTGGTTTTTGGTGCTGAAGAGCTCGAGTTTTGGACCTCCTATAATTTGACGCTGACTCATCCTTTTATATATAATCTGATTCATTTCGAGACACCATGAAAGCTTTTCAACTCGCTGCAGGACACCCCGACCACAAGACCCAGGCATTTCATGACATGTCATCATGTTTTACTGCAGACTTCAGGCTTTGTGTGAGTTTGTTTTGAGTCAGTCTGCTCTCAAGTTTTAAACAGCTAAAATAAAAGAAGGAAACAATCAATCATCTCCCTTAGATGTGAACTCACTCTATTCTGCTTTCAGCTTTGATCACACTTTCAGTTCTTTAATTAAAGCCGGCATCCAGCTCGTTAGCTTGGGAACAAACTAAATTTCAAGCCTGCAGGTAAAAACACGTGTTCAGCACCAGCAGCTCGTTATCTCTGCAAACCTGGTCCCCTGTGTCTGTGTCCGGGTTCATTACTGTGTTCAGGGAGCTTCAGTTTGGGATTATTGATTACTGCATTTTATTATTCTTTGGGTCACATGATCAGAAAACTGTTAATACAGATCCCATGTGGCCAATATGAAACAAATTCACCAGCCTGAGAGAGCCTCAATGAATTTATTCACGCTGATGCTCGAAGAAAACGTCTGCGACTTCTGTCATTCCTCCTCTTTGTTTCTATAGCAATTAAAATCTGATTTGCAAAAATCGAACTTTTTAGTTGTAGCAGCTAAAATGAGGCTTGGAGTTCCCCAGGGATCGATCCTCGGTCCTCACTCGATCTGTCTGGTTTATTTCTCATCAGCATGTCATCTCATCTCATGTTTAACAACTTCCACATTTCTGCGGGATTATCTCAGAAACTTTCAGATCAGCAAAACACAAAAGTAGTTCCTTTATTATTGATTTATCTGCGCATCACATTTTTATTTTCACAATTAACAAAAGTTTGGTTGACTTAATGTCTGAACAACATAGAAAAATCTTTGAAATGAATGAATTTGTATGAGCTAAAACAGAAAACACTTGCAGAGCTGAAACTAACTTGTAATCTCGCTCTTTTGTAATCCTTTCCTAATCGTCTCAGACCTGCAGCTGAGGCAATGAAAGCTGATATAGAGCATGGCTGAAGCCCTTTTACCTTGAGCTGCTCCTTGCTGGCTTTGCTGGGTCTGCAGAGGACCTGGTAATAGTCGACCACTCCCTCCTCGGTCCACAGCAGAGTCACGGACGAGTGAGTGGCGTTGACGGCATACAGCGATCTGGGAGGAGCCGGCTCTGCAGGAAACAGCAGTGAAAACCCTTCACGAGAGCTTACAGTACAGGACGAACTGCGGTGGTGAACTGCAGGGCCGAGCCGAGCCGAAGCTTGCTAAAGACCCCGCACTTCCTCTGAGGAGGACTGAAATAGTCTGATACGCTCAGAAGGGGAAGTGGAGAAAATGAAGTTTCATGTTCACTCTGTGAGTCTGACCTCAGACCCACAGCACAGATTAACAAGCAGAGAGGCTGCCGTGCGGCGATCAGCACCGAGACGTCTTTCCCACTTACATCCTTCACGTTTTAAAACTCCTGCAGCCCAGGGTTTCATTTTCTCAATTATCTCTCTACAAACTGACAGAAACAGCAAACACGTTTTACACGTCATCCTATCACAAGGACAGAATTTTTATCCCCATGAAAAAGAAGTGCTGCACAGCTCTTCCAAACATCCTGGTTTTATTTTGGATGCTTACATTGTTTTAATTTGCACACAGGAACTAAAGTATTCCAAAAAAAAAAAAAGCCTGCTCAGTGTCTCACACTCATCTCCTAAATGATCCCAGCCCGTTCTTCTTTGGAGAACCTCTCAGGTTCCCCCAGAGCTGCCCCCAGATCGTCCTCAACATACTTCAGTCTGACACGAAGGTGTCTCTTCTGCATAAGTGGAATTGTTCTCAGTCTGCAGCCTCATTACTCAACATTATAACTTGATAATTTTCTAAATCCACCTCCTGCTTTATGAGCATAACTGATTCTTTTTCTCAGGTCTAAAGTGATTTCTTTGGTTTAATGCGTGATGCTTTCTCAGCAACAGCTCAAACTTTTACTGGAGTTTAATACTGAGTGTAATCCAGAAGCTAACCCTCCCTTTAACTCAATTTTACAGCTCTGAGAATTACAGAGTTAAAGGTTGGCCTTTCAGTGGGGTGAAAATATTGTTCAGTTATAGTGTACTAATATAAATCATTTATGCTTTCTCAAGAAAACTGGGATGATTCTTTTGAAAAAGCACTCTGGGAACTTTGGGGGAGTTAGTCTGTTAGCAGTGAATACCTTTGTATTCTTTGTTTTTCTTAGAGTTATTATATCTTTGTTAATTGCAGTGAATACTCGCTGACCCAGTTTGATGATGTTTGGCGTGGACGTGTTCCTGCTGCGCTCTGTGCATGCCGTCACCGTCAGGTTGTAGATGTCTCCGGGAGGCAGAGGGAGGCTTGCCCGCATCACATTCCGAGTCACCTGACACAGCACCACATGTAAACAACACGTAAACAACATGTAAATAACACTTGAACAGCGTGCACACAGTCAGTCCTGAGTGCCCCCTTCCTCCATCTGATGGGGTCATATTCTGCTCTGCCTCTGTCCCACGCGGAGCTGCTGAAAGATTAACAGTGCAGGTATTTTCCTAAAATATCTTTTTAATCTGCCCTGAATAAAACTAAAAATATCCCTGCAGTAAATCCTCACAGCTGTCTGTGTCTCCGTTTAGTCACTGTGACCGTCTGCTTCCACCACGAACTAACGATTAAATATAAATGATCAGCTCTGAGTGTGGAAGCTTCATTAAACTTCTGCAGACCTGCTGACTCAGTCTTTGTACTCTTATATCTAATTATAATTTTAAATTACATTCAACCTCAAAGACCGAACAGACTGTATATAAAAGATGGACATCACCAATGTGACATTAGCCATTGCTTTGCAAAGCCATGTCCTCTAACCTCCAGCAGAGGCCCCAGCAGTGATGGAGTCCGCAGAAACTCTCAGGTTACATCATTAGGGGTGTGGCCTCTTTGACTGACAGGTGGCTGTAGCTGCCAGCTGTCAGTTAGGCTTACATTTAGCAAACTGGACCTCTGGACTGTGTTTGTGTTGTTGGAGTCTTTTGGAGCATTTTTAATGACATTATCTGACCAATAATAAAGCTGCTATGAGGTTATTATAGAGACAAACTTTGCTAAACAATGCTAACCAAGTTAGCTAGCATTAGATGATAACTTAGCATTCCACCCTCTTATCCAAACAAAACAAACATTTTAAGAAACAAGAAAACAACGAGCTGGCGCCCAGAATGCTAACAAAACTAATGAATGATGTCATGGTGGCTATGCTCATCTTTTATATACACATTTGACCACATTTGGAAAAGGAAGTGTAATTTTTGGTTTCAGTCCCCGAGGTCAATGCTCATTACTGAGATTTCTATTTCACATAAATTCTTCAAAATAAAGTGTTTCTGTAAGCTGGTTTAATTGTTTACACATTTATCAGAACTATTAGTAGCAATCTAGTAGAAATGAAGACTGCTTAACATCCTGAATATAGTTGACATCTACACGCCATTTGTATACGCTCTCAATTAAACCTCCAACATGGCTTGGGACCCTCAGACACTTGATCACAGAAGCGAGCTCAGGCTACGGTGGTAATTGGACTCAGCAACGTCTGCAGGTCATTCTCCTGCTGCTAATCAGACCATTGAACCAACCCGAAGGAGAGAGTCAATAACAGCTCCGCTCGACCCTGAAATAATGAGCTGCTGCTGGAGACACACTCATCACCACACAAACGCACAAATACACCTAAAACAGCGAGAACGTTTCTCAGAGTGTCGTGAACACCTAGGCAGATGTGTCTGGACTCACGTCAACGGAGTACGTCTTCTCCGGTCCCTTCTTCCCGACAGCGACCACTTGCCAGTGCAGCATCCTTGAGTGCGACAGGTCAATGAAGAGCTCGCCGTATGTCCAGCGGACGTACAGAACGCCATGAGAGTAATCCACAGAGGAGATGTGAGGCGCCTCGGGAGCTGAGAGGAGGAAGAGGAAGGAGACCTGCATCATACGTTTGCAGACACATTAAAGATGTGCCGTCTGGATCTTCACAAGAAATATCAGCAAATAAAAGCCAAAATTAAAAAAAACGTAAGAAACAATAAAAAGTCTATTTATTCTATTTTTAAGTCTAAGTGTGTTTGCTGGATCCTGGCCCAGCCTCCCTCGCAGCGTCCTTGCAGCGGTGAGGCATTACCTGTGACGAAGCTCACGGTGGAGCTGTCGCAGCAGCTGAGCGGTGGGTCACCCCACGTCACCATGGAAACACGGAAATTATAATACCAGGCAGGCAGCAAGTCAGTCACCCTCTGAGAGGAAATAGAGACAAATACGGTGAGGTGGATGCGGCATGGTGCCATGACATGTTTCCTGTGACGGAGACAGACTGGCTACCACTGAGGCGATGACGGAGGCGGTGGCGGCGATCTCGTAGTAGGTGGTCCACTCAGAGGCAAGCGTGACGGGGTTGAAGAAGAAGGTCTGCAACACATATTTCCTGAAGGCAACGTGGTATGGACGCTGCCAGCTGAGGATCACCGCCGTTGGACTCAGGGGGTAAACGGTGAGCTCGCGCACGCCGGTGGGCTCTGACACAGCACACCGACACAGGCGGGATTTAAGAGTGGAACAGGAAGAACAGGAGCAGTGAACAGGAAGGGGGACGCATAAAAAGACGCATAAAGTGACGCTCACCGATATCAATGATGACGGGCTCCGACGGCGGGCTGATCAGGGGTCCATTGGTGTGATAGACGACCACCCGGTATTGAGCACCCGGCGTCAGGTTGGTGATGATGTCACTCGTCGAGTTTTCCTGTGATTATATATTTAAACACATATATATGCATTAAAATTTTTTTTATTATTTATTCAAAAGACCCCCTGTGTGAGCTTCAATCTGCGGTGCGCGGCCAGTGATGAGTGCCGTGCCATACCTCGCTGCAGTAGGTGTTCTCCATCCTCTGGCTCAGGCTGGGCTTCAGGCAGGTGGTGGAAACCACTGACACCAGGCTCCCATTGTGGTTCTGCGACGATGGCGCCCAGGAGATGGCAGCGGTGCTCGAGTCCAGCAGCCTGACGCTGACGGCTTGAGGACGCTCTCGCAGGTCCTCCAGCAGCTCGCCGCTGGGACCTGTAACCATTAATAAACCAGCGAAGGAGCAGGTCAACAGGAAGTGGATTATGTTAACAATGACAACACTAGAACAAAGATGCATTTGATTGAATCCATCCTTTATTGCCACACGCTGCTGCATGCGCCATAATCACTTCCTGTACACTTACTGAGGTAGAAGGTGAAGGCAGTGTCGCCACTGCTCTCTCGGGACTCGCAGTCTCCAGACGAGCTCAGTGTGGTCACTTGCACATGGTATATTCCCGGCTCCGTTAACTCTGTAAAGAACTCGTGAGTGCTTTCATCCACCGTCGCTGTTTCTGTCGAGTTACCTGAGGAGCAGAGCGAGAGGTTCAGATGCCAACACGGGAACATCTGAGATGTTCTTTATTCAGCTGCTTCCTGCTTACCATCTCTGTAGATGTAGACGTTGAAACTGTCGTAGCTGGTGGGTGGGCGCGGTGGCAGCCAGCGCAGTTCCAAAAGGATTGGCGGAAGTCTGGTGGGCAGGACAGAAGGCTCGGCAGGGAGTGCCATGGCCGAGCCCGGCTCGTTGGAGTCTTCGTACTCGGGCAGCACGCCATTAACGAACTCCTCATCTTTGTCGGCAGGAGATGGCTCCGTCGGATCCAGCCAGTAGCTCGAAGGCTCTGCCTCCTCCGTGCGGCTGTTGTTCACATCAATGGGGGCGCTCACCGTCAACACTTTTGTGGAGTTGAAGGGGGCGTAAGTGACTCCTATTACCTCATCTGAGGTATTCTCCTCAGCCTGGGTCTCCTCCTCCTCCCGCTCCTCCATCAGTGGGACGTCCCGGGCCTGGCGGGGGGATCGCTGCCCACTATCATGTGGGAGCATGTCGGGGAGCTGACCTGGAGCTGCCCTCTGGCTCAAATGGATGATCTTATAGGAGATGTTGAGGGGAGGGTGGGGCACTGGGGGGAGAGAGGGGAGTGAATTATTCTGAGCAGGAAATGGTTAGTCAGCTCACCAGACGAAGCTCCTCCCATCTCATCATACATCACTGTTTAAAAAAATGAGGCAGCAGGTCCTCGCTGGAGGCCTCTGAACCGGGCCGCCATGTTCTCCAGACCTGATCACTGTATAAGGCAACGATTCCTGAAAGTAGAACTTAGAGCTTCATGCAGGAAGGTCTGCCTCAGAGCCGATCTAATCTACTCAGTACAGAGCAAGCACTGGACTCTCACAGTGGGAGGGGCCTCACCTGTCCGATGATGCAGCGGTGTGTGAGTGATGTCACTGTGGGTCACCAGTGCAGTTTGGTACACGGTGGCCTCTGAGATCAGCTGGAAGGTGATGTTTCGGTAACACATCCCCGGTAACCAGTGCTTAAACACTGTCTTCCCCCTGTAGAAATCTACAAACAACAAGCAGAAAGAAACTGTTAGCACAAAAACACTCTCTTTATTCCTGGAGCTGTGTTAACATCTGTCAGCAGTCAGGACATGAACACCAAAGCACTGAGCGACTATGAGTCTGGAGCAGCTGAAATCAGGTCTGGTCTTTCTCACTCACTATGTGTTAATAGACCCCTCAGCACTGAATCATACTTGTTATTAATCTCTGGCTCTCTTCCACAGCATGTCTTTTACACTGTCTTCCTTCTCACTCCCCCAACCGGTCGCAGCTCCCTGAGCCTGGTTCTGTCAGAGGTTTCTTCCTGTTAAAATGGAGTTTTTCCTTCCCACTGTCGCCAAAGTGCTTGCTCATAGGGGGTCATATGATTGCTAGGTTTTTCTCTGTGTGTGTTATTGTAGGGTCTACCTTACAATATGAAGCGCCTTGAGGCGACTGTTGTTGTGATTCGGTGCTTTATAAATAAATTGAATTGAATTGAAATGGAGTTCCTCGGGGGTCAATCCTGGGTCCTCTTTCCTTTATATTTGCCTCCACTGAGGTGTGTGCAGGTAAACTTGAAATAACTTGGTTCAGCTCAATTTAGTTTTATTTATATATAACACCAAATCACAACATCAGTTGTCTCAAGCCGCTTTAAGTGGAATAACGTGCTTTCAGAAATGCTTTCCATTAGAGAAAGGCAAGGGCGCACCAGAGTTCCCCGGAGGATTTCTACCCAATCAGAATCTTCAGTTTGGAAGGGGCCGGGCATTTATTCAGACAGACACATTCTTCTATCGCTACTCACGTGCCTTCACCTCCCAGTGAGACTGTGAACTACAATAACTGTCCTCACATTCAGGCAGAAGGCTCATATTGGTTTACAAAACACTAAATTACACTAAATAGCACCCACTCATACAAATAGAATGAAATGTTCTACCTTTATAGAGCATCGATCGGCGCTCCTGTCCTTCAGCGTAGCTGATGTTGACTCTGCTGAAGACGTTTCTGGTCGGAGGATCGATTTCAAACACCACGCCAGTCTCTGGAGCCTCCTTATAGTCCAATATCTGAGCGCTGCGGACAGGAAGCGGCTCTGAGGAGACAAACGAGTCGAACATCACGATCACAGAACTACAGAACAGAGATGTAAGCCCTTTATTTGAACTACATGTCTAATATGCAAAATTTAAAAAATAATAACATTTTCCTAATCCTTGCAACAACAGGTTTTTTTAAGGAGAATTATCCTCATGTTGAGGATAATTCTCCTTCATATACAGGGAGTGCAGAATTATTAGGCAAGTTGTGTTTTTGAGGAATAATTTTATTATTGAACAACAACCATGTTCTCAATGAACCCAAAAAACTCATTAATATCAAAGCTGAACGTTTCTGGAAGTAGTTTTTAGTTTGTTTTTAGTTTTAGCTATTTTAGGGGGATATCTGTGTGTGCAGGTGACTATTACTGTACATAATTATTAGGCAACTTAACAAAAAACAAATATATACCCATTTCAATTATTTATTTTTACCAGTGAAACCAATATAACATCTCCACATTCA